ACCAGGGGTTGGCACCCTGTATTATTGAAAAGTAAAGGTAACTAGGGGTTGGTGGCCTATATTACTAAAAAGGAAATATAACCAGCGGATGTCGCCCTGTATTATTGAAAAGGAAATGTAACCAGGGGTTGGCTCCCTATATTACTGAAAAGGAAAGGTAACCAGGGGATGGTGCCCTGTATTATTGAAAAGGAAATGTAACCAGTGGATGGCGCCCTGTATTATTGAATAGAAAAGGTAACTAGTGGTTGGCGCCCTGTATTACTGAAAAGGAAATATAACTAGGGGATGACGCCATGTATTACTGAAAAGGAAATGTAATCAGGGGATGGTGCCCTGTATTACTGAAAAGAAAATGTAACCAGGGGATGTCACCCTGTATTACTGAAAAGGAAATATAACCAGGGGTTGGTGCCCTGTATTACTGAAAAGGAAATATAACCAGGGGTTGGTGCCCTGTATTACTGAAAAAAATAGTAACCAGGGGATGGCGCCATGTATTACTAAAAAGGAAATGTAACCAGGGGATGGGACCTTATATTACTGAAAAGGAAATGTAACCAGGGGATGGGACCTTATATTACTGAAAAGGAAATGTAACCAGGGGTTGGCACCCTGTATTACTGAAAAGGAAAGGTAACCAGGGGATAGAGCCATGTATTACTGAAAAGGAAAGGTAACTAGGGGTTGACGCACTGTATTACTAAAAAGGTAATGTAACAACAAATTTGTTCTAGGGAAACATAGGATGTCAAGTTGGTCTAAAAAGAATTTGATTCATACTTTTGCCTATAGAAAGGGACCCAAACTAGTTTGGGTTCCTAAGACTAACCCCTGATTTCTTTTTGCAGGTCAAACTGATGGGGAGCATCCAATTATGGTACGTGGATAGTGGTTGCTTAAAGCACATGACAAGAGGCAAGAACCCGTTTCTTTCACTTGATAAACTTAAAGGATGCAACGTCTCTTTTGGAAATAGAAAGAAAGGTGAGATCATTGGGGTTGAAAAGGTAGGTAAGACTAATTCTCACTCTATTGAGAATGTCTACTTGATAGATGGGATGAAGTATAGTCTAATAAGTGTATCACAATTGTGTAATAGAGGTAACATGGTGTCATTCACCTCTACAAAATTCTTTATGATTAATCTTACCACTAACAAGATAGTTTTGAAGGGAAAAAGAGTGAATAACATATATGTGGTGGATCTGTCCACACGTTCAGATAATGAATTCACTTGCTTAAGTATGTTGGACAATGATCCCCTCCTTTGACACAAGAGACTTGGACATGCCAGTCTATGCCAACTCAACAAACTAGTCTCCAAGGACTTGGTGGTAGGGTTGCCTAACACTAAGTTCAAGGAAGATTTAGTTTGTGAGGCTTGTGCAAGGGAGAAGCAGGTAAGATCCTCTTTTAAAAGAAAGAAAATGGTAAGCACTACTAGGACAATGGAATTGGTCCATATGGATCTTTGTGGACCAATGTAAACATTGAGCAGGGGTGGTAAGAGATATGTTATGGTGCTTGTTGATTATTACTCTAGATTTACTTTGACACTGTTTTTAACATCTAAAGATGAAGCATTTGATATGTTTACTTCATTTGTTAGAAAAACATAGAAACAACTAGGTAATCACCTTGCATCAATTAGATCTGATCATGGTACTGAATTTGAAAATGCTAAATTTGCTGAATTTTGTGATGAGCATGGCATAGATCATAATTTTTCTTCTCCTAGGGCTCCACAAAAAAATGGAGTAGTTGAAAGAAATAATAGGACATTGGAAGAAATGGCTAAGACTATGCTACTTGCTAGTAAAATTCCCCATAACTTCTAGGTAGAAGCTGTGAACACTGCATGCTACATCATAAATAGGTGCATGACTAGACATCTTGTTAAGAAGACTCCCTATGAGTTACTTAAAGGGAGAAAGCCAAATATATCCCACCTTAGGGAATTTGGATGCATGTGCTTTGTGCATAATAACGGAAACGACTCCCTAGGTAAGTTTGATCCCAGAAGTGATGAGGGAGTATTATTGGGATATGTGTATAGAAGAAAGTGTACATGTAGGTTTTTTATGAAACTAACATTCTTTTTGAAAGGCAGGAACAGGATGATAAAGTAATTGGGCTGATAAGAAACTCAAATGAAACCATAACCCAAACTAAAGCAGCACCAGAGGAAGGAACATGTAATGGAACATGTTCTTCCACCTAGGACAACTTGATAGAGGGAACTGAATAGAGAAGAACTAATCCTCAAACCTCGAGGAAACCTATCTATGAACCTATTCCTCAGCAATAGAACATTGAAAGAACATCTAGGGGAAACTAGCTGGTTGTGAAACCTTACAAGTATCAAATTTCTCACCTCATTGGGAACATAATCACTAATCCAACCTCTGGAATCAAAAACAGATCTTCTCTGAAGAATCTCTGTGCTTTTGATATTTTTCTATCTCTTATTGAACCTAAAAATGTTTTCGAGGCTTTGCAGGATGTAGACTGGGCAAATGCAATGCAAGATGAAATCAACCAATTTGAGAGAAGACAGATTTGGAATCTGGTACTAAGACCCAAGGACAAATCATTAATTGGCACAAAATGGGTCTTCAGAAACAAACTTGATGAAGATGGAACAATTATAAGGAACAAGGCAAGATTGGTGGTTCGAGGATATAGTCAAGAGGAGGGCATAGACTATGATGAGACTTTTGCTCCAGTTGCAAGATTGGAAGCATTTGGACTCCTTATAGCCTTTGCTGCTTACATGGAATTCACTCTCCATCAAATGGATGTCAAGAGTGCCTTCCTCAATGGCTATCTAAAGGAAGACGTATTTGTCAAGCAACCTCCTAGCTTTGAAAGCAAGGAATGTTCTGATCATGTGTATAAGCTTGACAAGGCACTTTATGGGCTCAAGCAGGCTCCAATAGCATGGTATAAAAAAATGTCTAAATTCTTACTTGAGCATGGCTACAAGAGATGTAAAATTGACAATACTTTGTTCTTGAAAGAAAAAGGTAAACATGTCTTGGTAGTTCAGATATATATTGATGATATAATCTTTGGAGCAACTACAGATAAGTTAAGTATGATGGGTGAGCAAAATTTCTTTATAGGCTTACAAGTTAAACAAAATTCAAATGGAACTATGATCCATCAACAAAAGTATATGAAAGAGCTGCTTAAAAGGTTTAAAATGTAAAACTCCAAAGAACTTAACTCTCTTATAGCAATCGCCACAAAACTATATATCGATGAAGCTGGTTCATCTGTTGATCAGAAGATATATTCGGGTATGATTGCCTCTTTGTTATATCTCACTACTAGTAGACCTATCATTATTTTCAGTGTAGGCCTTTGTGCTAGATTTCAGGCAAATCCAAAGGAATCTCACTTGACTGTTGTCAAGTGGATCTTGAGATACCTAAAAAGCACCATTGATCTTTGCTTATGGTATCCAAAAGGTAGTAATTTTAACTTAGTGGGATATGTTGATGCTGATCATGCAGATTTCCTTGTAGATAGAAAGAGCACTTCAGGTATGGCACACTTTCTTGGCTCGTGTCTTGTGTCTTGCAAAAAGAAAAATTATGTGGACTTGTCTACTGCTGAAGTTGTGTATGTGGTTGATGCCTCATGTTGTGCATAATTGTTATGGATAAAATAGCAATTAATGAACTTGGAATTGATATAGGTTGTATCCCCAACTTTTGTGATAACACCAGTGCAATTAGCATGACCACGAACCCGATTCATCACAAAAGAACTAAGCACATATATGTTAGGCATCACTTTTTGAGGGAAACCTATGAGAAGGGTTTATTCATTGTGGAATTTTGTGCAACTGACAAGCAAATAGCTGATATCTTCACAAAAGCTCTTAGTAGAGACCACTTTGAAAGGAAAGGAATGATTAAGATCACCTAAAAGGAACTAGTTCTAACTTAATAATTGGTTAGATAATTTGTGAATTTTGTAAATAATTAGATTAGATTTTGTTTAGTCTCATACTTTCACTAGTATACTCTTGTGCCATATGCTAAAATGTCACATTAATCTATAATGATATTATCTTTATTTTTTTTTTGAAAAATTCAGACTTACACAAGAGAATTCTCAGTGAAGAACCTACTTCATCAAGATTACATGGTATGTACTCTCCACTTCGCATACTTTGAAATAATTGTATTTAGATCATGATCAAAAGAGAGTCCTATTTAATCCCAATTTTCTTCAAGTCTATCCATTACAAACGAACCAGTTTCACCAAATAGGAGTCCCACGCACCATAATTGCCTAGATTCTAGAGAAAAATGTCTTTTCAAACTGACTTTCCAAGTCTGATTAGACCTCTAAACTTAAAAAAGCAAATGTTACCCACTCAAACTCTCCCACTTTAAATTGATTAGGGTTAAACCAATTCTTCATTTTTAATTTTCCAGCTGCCATAATTTTCTCTTTCTTCTCTCATCTATTCTACACACATCAATGGAAAATCCATCTGAAAACCCTTCTTCACAACCCAAATAACCAACACCTACACCTTCGACCATACCCTCAACCACACATATCTTTAATAAAGGAATGTTCAAGATGCTTGCTCGTAAGACAGTAGCTGACAGTGAACAAATCAATAAAATAAATGAGCAATTGAAAGCAAGTGAGGAAGAGGAATTCCAAAAATCTGAAGAATCTTTTAAGTCTGTAACTGAGGGGGAAGAAATTATTTCATCTAAAACATAACAGGTAACCTCTGGTCTAAATATTACTTTTGAGGTAATTTCTGAAGTGGATAAAAACTTGGAGAACAAGTTTGTTCTGGTTGGAACGACGATTGTTGGGGTAAAGACTATAGAGTCTAGGATAGTTGGTGGTAAAAAGAAAAAGAAAAAAGAAAAAGAGAATGAGGGTGTTCAAGGAAACTTAAGGGGAAAGGAGTGGTTGAACCTTCACCTACTCCTGTTGGATTGACTGAGGAAACATGGGCTATGGTGTTATGGAGTGAGGAAGCAGTTGAGGAGGAAGAAAGTTGGAGAGAAGAAGAAGGTAGTAGATCTGGTGATGCTAGTGTAGCTGAGGGGCTGGTTAGGTTGAGGAAGAGGTTCCAAGAACGTATTCCATCTGTGTAGGAACCCCTCGAAGATTTACTAAATTGAGTGTCTGATAGCTATAATTCGAAGAAGAAGAAGAAAAAGAAGAAGAAGAAGAAGAAGAAGAAGAAGAAGAAGAAGAAACGTTCAGTAGTTAAAATCTCTGAAACTGCTAGGGAACACAAGAAGAAAAAAACTGTCTTTTCTATCCCTGTAGAGACTCCTCCTAAAAGAGGAAGAGCTACAAGGAGTCAGAAGATGCAGTGTGAGGCTAAACTTGAAAGAGCCTTAAAAAAGAGTAAGAGAAAAATTGTTGCAAAGGGAAAGAAAAAAGTGAGTGAGCCTATTTTGAAGAGATGGACTTGGTTAAAATCTCTGGAACTGCTAGGGAACACAAGAATTAAAAATCTACCTCTTCTATCCCTGTAGAGATTCTCCTAAAAGAGGAATAGCTGCAAGGAGTCAGAAGAAGCAGTGTGAATCTGAACTTGAAAGAGCCTTAAAAAAGAGTAAGAGAAAAGTTGTTGCAAAGGGAAAAAAGAAAGTGAGTGAGCCTGTTGAGGTAATTGAGATTGAAGAGATGGACCTGGTCCTTCATGATGATGACAAGGCAAAGGAGGTGGAGGTTGTGACTCCAAAGGAAAAGAAAAGAAAGACTTCTAAAAAGAAGTCTCCTTCAAAGACTGTTGATGCAGAGCCTTCTACCTTGGCAAAAAGAACCAGGTATGCCATGAAATCTTTGAAAGTGCAAGTAGTGGAGGAAGAAGAAAGTGAAGAAGAAGAAGAAGAAGAAGAAGAGGAAACTGATGAAGAACATGATAAGATGGTAAAGTTTGGCAAGAGAACAATCTTGAAGGGTAGACTCCTCAGAGACTTGGAAGAGGAATGAATGGTGATGCTGTTGGAGAAGCTAGAACTTCAGGGTTGGAAGGACATGGTCCTTCAGATGGAATGAAGACTAGCCAGAACTAAGATTGTGGAGTTTATGGCAAATTGTGAAATCAAGAATGGAAGGTTCACCATTATAGTGAAATGGGTGACTGTGAGCTTTGACGACAAGGAGTTGGGAGAAATTCTAGGGGTACCTACTTAAGGGTACAATGGTTACAAAAAGCTGAAATGGCCAAGCCTAGAAAATCTCCCTACCTCCCTTGCCATTACAAGAAGATTTGCTGACAATGAGTTAGAGTTACAGCAAAAGGTTGTGTACAAAAGTGAGATAAAGCCTGCCCACAAGTTGCTCTTTGAATTTGTTAACTAGGTTATGTTGCCCAGGTAGGAAAGAAGGCACATTGCCACTTTTATGGACCTAGTTCTTATGGAATGCCTGGATAATGGGAGGTAGATAAATTGGCGGGGGTTTATTATCCAGCACCTTGATAGGGTACTAACTGGCACCAAAACTCATGATATACCATATGGTTTCATTCTCACTATTGTAATCCGAATGGGATGTTTTTTATTTTTTTGCTCATAATGCATTACCTTTATTTTCTTCTATGCTTTGTGGATAACTCGTATCAATGTTAATCAACTGCTTTTGCTCTAATTTTTTATTGATGCTTCTTAGATGGCTAATATCATTAGATTGATAAGTGATACTTGAATCCATGATTTTATTTGAAGTAACCTAAATGACCATAAGTAAGATCTGCTAAAATTTGGTTATCTAACATAATTATGCAACTTTTCGATGATGCCAAAATGGGGAAGATAGGTTGTGCATTTTACTTTGGACTGTAATGTTTATAACCTAATGAACCTAGTCCTTGATGATTTGTGACTTTCAAATAGAAAGTGTTCTAACATTGTGTTGATGTTGAGCTGAGTTAAAAAAGGTTTCATGCTTATGAAAACCACGAAATTTCTCATCGTCAAAAATGGAAAATTATTTGGCCTATGTAAGTTTGTTTTGATGATTGACAAAGTTTTTCATCATAGAAAGGGGGGAATTTGTTGGCATGTGAAACTTTGTTTTGATGATTGACAAAGAAACACACGCATGAACCAGGTTCATACACAGTGTACATAGACACCGAAAGATTTAAGAACATGGCATGCATGTGAAGGAGATAAGCTTAAGTGGTTATATATGATATCTCCTGAACGAAAAGGTTGCATAAATAATGAGTAGGACTCCTTACTCAAAGAAAACTCTATCTGTCACGACCAAAATTGATGGGCTGTGACGAGTGCCAGAGTTCTACCTCTCGAACACCCCTAAGCATATGGCTAAAATATAAACATGAAATAAGTGTAGGTCATGCATAATATCTGGAAATAAACTACTGATTTATATAAAAAACATACGTGGGAAAACATGCCCAAACGACACACACACACACACACATACACACACACACACACACACACACANAATACCTCTACCAGAGTGTACAACTATATAAATGATAGGACCGGGGTTCGTCATACCTATATGTATACAAAAGTATCGTACCAAAATTCAATAGCAGCTTCAGATCAAATGGAGCACACCAACGCTCGCTGAGTAAGGATCCTAGATGGGGGACCGTCAGCCTGTCTACATGCATATGCGGGCATGAAACGCAGGCCCCCAAGCAATAGGGGCATTAGTACAAATAATGTACCGAGTATGTAAGGCATAAAAATTAGTATATAAAAGACATGAAATTAACATAGAGTAAAGGACTCAACCTGTAAGTCTGAATAGCTTTGTGAATCATGAAATAATTATAATATCATGTATATGCATATAAATGTCAAATCATGCATATGTATATGTGTACATAACATTATCAAGCCTCTGAGGGCATCACATCATATCATCTCAACCTCTGTGGGCGAAATCATAAACGTATACCAGCTGATAAGGTGGTGGTGCGTATATAACGCCATAACCTTTCCCCATACCCCATATGCATATACGATATGCGTATATAATGCCATCTGGTCATGGGTCAGTATACATGTATAAATGGATGCAATGCATAATGAAGTAAGTCAATAAGATCTCTCGGAATGGCATGAGACCCATGAACAGACGATATAATAGTAGGACATATGGGGAATCCAGAACATAGGCAACCCTAGTACCTCTAAGAATAGAATCATTTATGAAAGTTGTGTGCTTGCTCGTTTCGTTTGTATCATATGGATCATGTCAAAAGGAAAGAAGGGATAGCCTTAACATACCTCAAGTCGTCAACGCAACTCAACAACAAGCTTATGACAACTAGCGCACCAACCCTATAACATAGAAATACGTGTACAACTTAGATGGCGGTAGTATATCACGTATCTCAAATGATAATTCGATTCTAAAATAAAACGGGCAGCATTTCTCTTGATTTCACTACTCCCTCAAGCCTACTATAGGTGATAAACAAAACACAATACAATCAGCAACTCAAAAATAACCCAACTATAATTCGGGACCTTCAATACAATAAAACCCCCAAATACTCCATAACACACCCAATCAATAAGTTATCAATTAACTTGAAATTGCAACAGCGAGTGACCAGCCTACTACCCTACCACATGTGGAATTTCTCCACACCCTTCATCCTTCCAAACTCCATAAATCAGTAGTACAATAGGCCAACACTAGTGGACTACAAAATAGTCCACTAAAAGTGAAATAAATCAAACTCACAGCTTCCGATCACCATCCCATGAATTCTAAATATTAGGAAATGAATTTATCGACCTTTCTTGATATTTAAAAGAATAAATACAGAAAGTAGACGTTTTATTAACTATTAAGTACCTTCCAAAACTCAAACTACAAAGAAAAAGAGAGCGATATAGCGATACTTACGTCGTAGGGGTCGTTCTAATGTTATCACTTCTTAATTTCGTACCCGAGATGTTAATATCCTTTGAAACCCTATAAGAGAGCCTATGGATGTTCTCAGGTCGTGTTATATGGAAAAATAAAGATAAAGACGGCCTAAGACCTATATATATCAAGTTTGGAAAAGTCAAAAATGTGTAAGCTTGGCACTCTATCATTGGCCCATCCTCCAATGCTTATAGCCTTTTATTCGGACGTCGTATGAATGAACGGTTAAGAGCATTGGAAACTACATTCCAAGACCTTCAATTTTGTATATAATATGTCCCAAAAACAACTCCATATAGCACACAAAATGTATTGCTCAAAACGCTCCGTTACAAGGCAAATCCTTAGTCGGTTTTTCTGCAACTTAAATCCGACTTTTCCCAAACTTTATATTTTCTATCCAAACATCATATAAATGTATTAAATCATGATTAACAAGTCTCATATTCATTATACATCACCTTGGGATGCACAAGGTGTAACAATCTCCCCCCTAGAAACATTCATCCTTGAATGTTAAACTCCTAGAGATCTATAAATATTTTGGTAGAGTCTACTCTATAACGGTACTACTACCAACCTGTCAGACAGAAAACCCAAAAATACAAAGCCACACAGGTCCACAATCATCAATAACACCAATGGATCACACGACTAATGACAATAACTAACATAAGAATCAAGTACCATATACGTACCTAAAGGTTGTGATGTCTCGGTCCGATCCTTCTCCGGAAGCAGAAACAAGTGAGGATACCTAGACTTTATGTCTTCTTCAGCTTCCCAAGTCATCTCCTCCACATTCTTGTTTCTCCAAAGTACTTTAATTGAAGCTACGTACTTAGTTCTCAATCTCCGAACTTGTCTATCTAGTATAGCAATGGGAGCTTCCTCATATGATAGCTGCTCTATGACCTGAACATCGTCAATTGTAACGGCTCTAGAAGGATCTCCAATACACTTGCGGAGTATAGTGTCACGACCCAAAATCCGACTAGTCGTGATGGCACATAACCCAACCCGTTAGGTAAGCTAATTATCAACTATACAATTCAATAATAATTATTAAAGCAATTTAAGTAAATAAAGGTCTTAATCTTATACAATCCCCAAGAACTGGTAGTACAAATCATGAGTGTTTAAGAATAGAGTTTACAAAGCGTAAATAAAATAAATACATAGTCTGTTTGAATAGTACATAAACAGAACTTTTATAAATCTAAGGCTGCCATGGACAAGAGGCAGCTACAACAGGAACGCAGGTACATCTTCAAATCCGGCAACAATCGAGCACAGCAACAACAACAACCAAGGTTGAAAGTACTTAGTAAGTAACAAACCTAGCCTTAGGTTGAAAGTAGTGATGAGCTTCTACCAAGGTCGGGTAAAAAATCAATAGTCCACAACAGTCCATAACAATGTAAAACAAATAATACCAGAAGTAACTCAGAGATAAAATAATTAGCTAAATCACAATTTCTAAAAATAGTTCTTCCTTTCAAGTACATCAATGAAAACCCAAATTGTTTACCGAAGTTTTCAAAAATATGAATAAGTTTGAAAACAATAATTTTTCCCAAAAATCTTTTTTCCAAAATAAGTAAGATGTTTCATTTCCTTTCCAGATAACCTGTGTAAAACAAATGCATCACTATGCCCATCTGTCAATATGTGTGAGAAATCATGAGTGATGTGATATTGTACAACATGAGGAAAATACATCTCTATGCCTGCATGTCATGTGTGCATGACAATGCGATGCAACTCAATGATAAAATCATAAACAGCCCCTCGGACAGACCTTACAATCACTCGTATACATCCCCTCGGGCTTACCTCACAATCACTTGTAAATAGGCCCTCGGGCTTACCTCACAATCACTCGTAAACAACCCCTCAGGCATACCTCACCATCTATCATGCCTCCCAGTCACTCAGCACTCGGCACTCGCACTCAGTAGGTACCTGCGCTCACTAGGGGTGTGTATAGACTCTGGAGGGGCTCCTACAGCCCAAGCGCTATAATCTACACGGACAACTCACATGCTGCACGGACAACTCAT